TTCATACAAATGTATATAACAGATGTGCAAATGCTGATGCTGAAATAAGTAACCATGTAAGTTACACAAAAAATGGCAAAATCGTAATTTTGGAATGCATTTATTATTCGCTATTTAGAAATCACAAGTTTGTTATTTTTCTATAGGTCAAATGTTTACCTATTTCATCACCAAACTTACGCATATGTAATGTACATCAATATGATCATGTAGAATTCTTTTTGGATTTTTTTTAAAACTTTTAACACGATCTGTAACTAGTTGAAACAAGGTCCTCCAATGCACCCGGGTTCCAAACTCCACTCTCGTTCGTTAAGTTTCATTCCACACACTTGTGGTTTTGTTCGGTCACTGTACTAGTTTCGACTTGTTTTTTTCTAGGTTTTCTTCTTCTTTTGTTTTTTCGTTGGTTCTCTATGTTTCTTCACTCATTTTCTTCGGTTTTTCAGTTTTGCTTGTTTTTCAGATGGTTTCTCTGTTTTTTATTTCCTTTATTTTCTTTGTTCGTATTTTCACCGGTTTTAATAGTTTTTTTCTTGGTTTTCATTGTTTCCTTTTATTTTATTTTCTTTAGTTTTTTTGCTTTTCATTGATTTTATCTTTTGTTTCTTTTTTCGGTTTTCATTGGTTTTTAACAGACGTCTACATTTTTCAGTACACGATATTTTTTTTGGTGTACACGTGAATTTTTTTTTGATGCATGTTGAACATTTATCAAATACATGATGTATATATACTCCCTCTATTCCAAAATATAGTGCGCCCGTGCTTTCCGAGGTCCAACTTTGACCACAAATTTAACCAATGAGACTGACTGCAGCGGGAGAAAGAAATATATAATTGAAAACTTCTTTTGAATACGAATTCACTAGTATAACTTTTGCAGTCGGTCTCGTTGGTTAAATTTACGGTCAAAGTAGAAGCACGGGAATAGATGAAGCACTATATTTTGGAATGGAGGGAGTGTTTCTTTTCATATATGGTTTTAAACACTTTTTGAAATACATGGTCAACATTTTGAAAATACACATTGGACATTTTCTAATGACGTATAAATATTTTAACAAATTTAACAAACTTTTCTTGGAAACACCTGAGTATTTCTTAAGAATGTTGCATAAATTTGTTTCATGGGAATACTTATGTTTGAACCTATGAGAACATTATTTCACATTCAGGGACGGAGC